CACGGCGCGCGCGCGATGCGGGTCGATCGTCGCGCGATCGTCGTGCGCGGACGTGATGCGAGCGCGCGGGGGGGGGTGCGGGCGCGCGCGCGGGGGTGGATGACGACGACGCGGGCGGTGCGGGACGCGCGCGCGGCGGACGCGGACGCGGAGGAGAAGACGGCGGTGAAATTGCTCACGAGCGATGAGAGTGAGAATTTGTTGAAGATTCGACACACGGTACGTGTATGTCGCTCGTTTCGCGTCGTGGGGTGACGGGAGAAGGCGGTGGAGACGGCCGGGGGGGGGGGCGACGCGCGTCAGAGGCGGGGTTGGGTCGACTCGCGGCGCGACGCGACGCGACGCGGAGAAGCGAAGACTGATCGGTGAGGACTTTTTAACGACGCAGAGTGCGCACGTGATGGCGATGGCGGTGCAAAAGGTTTTCCCGAGCGCTCAGTGCACGATCGGGCCGTGGATCGAGCGCGGATTTTACTATGACTTTTTCTATCCGGAGGGTTTCACCAACCAGGACATGAAGAAGATTCAAAAGGAGATGTACAAGATCATTCGCAAGGACTACCCGCTCCGACGCGAAGAGGTGTCGCGCGAGGAGGCCGAGCGACGAATTCGCGAGATTAACGAGCCGTACAAGCTGGAAATTTTGGATGCCATCAAGACTGAGCCGATAACCATTTATCACATCGGCGACGAGTGGTGGGATTTGTGCGCGGGTCCACACGTTGAGTCCACGGGTAAGCTCGATCAAACGGCGTTCGAGCTCGAGAGCGTGGCCGGGGCGTACTGGCGCGGAGATGAGACGAAGCCCATGCTTCAACGAATTTACGGCACGGCTTGGGAGAACGCGGAACAGCTCAAGGCGTACACCGAGTTCAAGGAGGAGGCCAAGCGCCGGGATCACAGAACGATCGGCAAGGACTTGAATCTGTTCTCTCTTCAGCAAGACAGTGCGGGTGGTGGGTTGGTGTTCTGGCACCCGAAAGGCGCGCAAATGAGGCACATGATCGAGACCTACTGGAAGGATCTCCACCTCGCGCGCGGTTACGAGCTGCTGTACTCGCCGCACGTCGCCAGGCAAGAATTGTGGCAAACGTCCGGTCACAGCGATTTTTACTCGGAGAACATGTACCAACCGATCAAGGTTGAAGAAGAAATGTACCAGCTCAAGCCCATGAACTGTCCGTTCCACATCGTCGTCTACCAAGATGGCTACTATTCGTACAAGGACTTGCCCATTCGCTGGGCCGAGCTCGGTACGGTGTACAGATACGAACGCAGCGGCACCATGCATGGTTTGTTCAGAGTCCGAGGGTTCACTCAAGATGATGCGCACATCTTCTGCCTCCCTGATCAAATCACCTCCGAGATCAAGCGCGTGCTCGACTTGACCGAAGAGATCCTTAGCACATTTGGCTTCACCGATTTTGAAGTCAACCTTTCCACTCGACCGGAAAAATCAGTCGGCGAAGACGCGATTTGGACGACGGCGGAGAACGCGCTCCGAGATGCCCTCGGAGAAAAAGGTTGGGACTACATCGTGGACGACGGCGGTGGAGCGTTCTATGGACCGAAGATTGATATCAAGATTTTGGACGCCATCGGGCGCAAGTGGCAATGCTCCACCGTGCAGCTCGATTTCAACCTGCCGGAGCGATTCGACTTGAACTACATCGATCGCGACAACAACAAGCAGCGACCCATCATGATTCACCGAGCCATTTTCGGTTCGCTCGAGAGATTCTTTGGCATTCTCACGGAGAATTACGCCGGTGAGTTCCCGTTGTGGCTCGCTCCGGTCCAAGTTCGCTTGCTCCCGGTGACGGATGAAGTGAGCGATTACACCGAAGGTGTTGCGGCGAAACTGCGTGAGGCGGGCTGTCGCGTTGAAATCTGCACCGGGCAACGTCTCGCAAAGCTCGTTCGCACCGCTGAAAAGGCGAAGATTCCGGTCATGGCGGTCGTGGGAAGAGACGAGGCGGCGAATAACACGCTCGCCGTTCGCACGTACAAGGATGGTGACGTTGGCTCGCTCTCCGTCGACGAAGTGTTGTCGCGAATCACCACGGCGAACGCAACGAAGGGCACTGACTTCTAGACGCAAATGCAAGTGTAATTCGCTAAGAAGTTCATATTAAAAATACAACGCGCCGCGCTCTAGAATCAGTCAAAGTCCGAATCCTCGTCGTCGCTATTCAATGCCATCTGCGCCCCGCGGCGAATGTTCGTCGGTCTCTCCGCTGCCTCATCATCTTTCGGCGGACCTCTCCCCGCCCGTCGAGGATTCGCATCGACGTCGTTGTCACCGCCCTCGTACGTAATCACCCCTTTGCTAGCCAACACGAGCCGCAGGTGCTCCGTGGGGAAATCATCCGTCCCTCCGACATCGTCAAAGCCGACGATGTAATCCACAACCTTCGTGTTTCGAATGCACGCCAGCGTCGGAAGCATCCAAATCTTCAACTTATCCGTCAAAAACGGCGACTTTTCCGCGTCGATTCTACATACCAGCGTCTCGGCGTGCTTGCGAGCAATCGCCGCGCAGTGCGCGTCCATGACCTCGCACGGCCACGACCCTCGGCGATAAAAGTGCACGATCATCTTATCCTCCCCCTTCATCTTATCAAAAAATCCTCGTTCGTCGTCCAGATCGTTCACCACGCCGTGTCCACGCTCGAGCAAGGATTTTCTCGTCTTCGCGCTCGTCTTCATCGCCTCCAGGCGTCGACGTCGTATATCCTCCAGCTCGTCCCCGTCCATCTTCTCCAATCGATGCAGTTCATCGTCCACCGACGCCTCCACCGCGCGCGCCATCTCGTACACCTGTCGCTCCACGAGCGCCTGCGACGAAGACGCCGCGCGCGAGGTCTCAGTCAACGCGGTCAAGGCGAGAGGCGATGCGCATCGCATCTTTCATCGATCAATCACACGCGCGTCGTCGTCGCGCACGTCGCCGCGTCGGTGCTCACGGCGCGCGAGTCGAGCACACGCGTACCCGCGCCGCGTCTGGGTCCATGACGCGCGATCGTTCGCGGTGGACGCGTCGAGAGATGACGATGGTGTGCTCGACAGCTGGGCTCGAGCGATGCGGCGGTGGAGAGAAAAATTGTGCGAAAGTATACATAAATGTAGAGGAACGGGACGAGGGACGAGGCGAAACGAACGCGCGCGCGATGCGTCGGAGACGCGAGGTCGACGCCGAGAGAAGGCGACGGGTTTCCTCGCGCGTCGTCACTGTGCGCGCGCGCGTTCGACCGCGCGTCGAGGCGTCGCCGAAGGAACGCGCGGCGTCTACGCGTACGGATTTCGAGGCTTCCCGAGCTCGCGACCGTCGAGCGCGCGCTTGATGTCCTCCTCCATGCCTTGCTCCAAGGGATCGCCCGGGGAGTATCGCCTGAGAACCTGACCGTCGCGTCCGACTAAGAATTTCACGTAGTTCCACTCGATTTCCTTGTCGAACGGTTTTCGCTTGAGAAACTCGTACACCGGGGATTCTTTCGCCGAGCTCGTGACGTCGTCCACCAGCGGCGCGGTGAGCATCGCGTCCGGATCGTCCTTGAACTCCTCGTACGACTTCGGGTCGATTCCCTTGCACCGAACCGGTTTCGTCTTCACGGCGATTTTATCCATCACCTCAAAGTCTCTCGTCCCAAATTTCTTGTACGCGTACTCTCGCTCCATCTCGCTCGTTCCCGGGCCTTGACACCCGAACTGATTCACCGGAAACGCGATGAACTCTAACCCGCGCGAGCGATACTTCTCCAGCATCGATCGCAGGGCGGGATAGTTTGCGTTTTGCAACGGTCACTCGCTCGCGACGTTCGCCACGACGACAACCTTTCCCTTGTACTCCCCCAACGACCGCGGTTTCCCGTACTGCGTCACCGTGAGATCGTACAGGGACTCCACGTCCGCCCGCGCGCGTCCACGGGCGGTGGTCTCGAGCGCGCCAGCGAGCGCGACGATGCGCATCAATGCCCGTCGTCGCGTCTCGGACGCATCATCATCATCATCCCCGCTCGCCGCCGCGCGACGCCCGCCCGAGACTCGCGCGCGCGCATGGCGCGGCGCGGACGTCGGCGTCGC